GAAGAATGGACACAAAACAACTTGAGACCAGCATGAGACAAGAAAAGTGATAGCTATGCAATGACAATAGAATCCCTTTGTTGCAGTATGTATTTGAATGTAGATTGCAACTTGAATTGAGACTGCTGGTTTTGTAGTAGTCTTGTATTGGTCTCATGTTGGTCATGTGCAGATCTCCAAAACAACAATGGCTTTGATTTGTTTACCTTCACTTTACTAACCTCTGAATGAACTCCATAACTCCCCCTGAGCTTGCTGGGTACTGCAAGTTGAATATGTAGTAGAGTGACCATTTGGTAGCCTCCAGTAGCTTTCCTGAAAATCAAAATGAAACCAAAACTAATTTCTGATGGGGGTGGGTGTTACATTTTGGGCCGATTTGAAAGGTACACCTGGTGGAGACAGTAACAGGATGTATGGTAGCAAGGTGTATGTAGCGTCAGGAGACATTACATTCTTGAAAGTCTGAGTTTGAAAAAATGAAGGGAATCAAACTTGATGTTCTGCTCCTTGTCTCCATCAGTATAAAAAAAACCTGAGTGTGTGAAGTGATAAACTAATCTAGAGGCTTGCTCTATTGCTGACCAACAAAAGGGAGTTTTGTCGGGGCAGATGTAGCTGTCAGATGCCTTTTGTTTTATTCTTGGACATGATTGGTGGACATTACTGCAGGCGCATACAATTTGCATATGGCTGCCATTTTCCAAGATCAGCTGCTGTAAATTACTTGGAAACAAAGAAGTGTGGAAACTTTTCTTGGTGTCAAATTTAATACTACATATTTTCAGCACCAGACCATCACCATCTGATTCCTTGGCCCTAAAAACCTACATGATATTTGACATAACAACAAACAAACATTACCCTTGTTGCCATGTTACTTACGTCAGCTGACAAATGGCCTCCATCTTGGAAAATGGCGGCCATATTCAAATTGCATGCACCTATGGCAATGTCGTCACAAAGTTTCATGATTCCTCAGAACAAACAATTAATTTTAGACAGGACAAATTTTGAAACTCACATGAGTGGAACAGCTTTACTAGTTATCCAACAGTTTAAATTGGAACCAAAATATCACTATCAAATTTTAAAGGTATGTCTTTTCCAATTCAGGAAGTAACATTTATTTATTTTCTCTGCTGGAAACCTAGAGGAAAAACACTGATAAAATGGTCACCAGTGTACAATACTCAATGATACATCACACAGCTAGGAGACAGACTAACACAAACATGCTCTAATGATGAAATACATGTAATCTAGCACTTACCATACACGAGTAAACAGGGGTTACCAGGCAGATCCTCTTTGCTGAAAGCAGGTTTCTCAAGTTCCTGAAAATCAAGAATTTGATCGGTATTTTGATTTAACTTTATACTACTGGATTGGGGTATAAAAAAATATGAGTGAAATTTGAGACCTAATGGAAAGAGTTCCATGCAGGCATGCCACTTGACACCAAACTCCATGAGACTGGTCCCAGAAATCCAAGTGTACAACGTTTTCATTTTTTCACTCCTTGAATTTCCTTTAATGACTTTTTCTCTAGGGAATATACATAATTTAAGAGTAAAATTTACTCTTACTGCTCGTCTTTTCACCTCATAACCTGGATGTTAATGGAGTGACATAGACCTTATTTTACTGTGACACCACAAGAGTAACTGCATTGTTTTGTGATGTTGAATGGCCTTTTGAGATCTCTTGATCTTACACCTTGCGATGTTTTCCTGTGGGGTTACTTGAAAAACAAAGCCTTCACCACTCCCCTTATATCCAGAAGTAAAGAAGCAAAATTATGCATGAAGTTGAAATTTGGGATACTTTTTTGTGAACACTCTGTATTTAAAGTTTTAATTGCTTACCTCCGTAGAAAGAACGTAGCATTTCCTGTCCTCACCAAAGTAGGCACACAAAACAGCAATCAAGCCAATCACTTGTGGTGACTTGTTGCCCACAACATCAAAAGCTGCCTCAAGTTGCTGGACTGTATCTTGGAGTTGTCTGTTTCGTAGACAAGGAGGGTGCTGCCTAAGAAATCGCAACATCTTGGGAATTTTGTCCTTGAAGCTTTCTTGTACCTTGTGCATTATGTCAGTACCAACCAGCTCTTTGAAGTGCATTAGCATGCACTGTTCATCAAATAGATAGGGCCAGTCCTCAATAACATCCAGAAGAGCACAGTTGGCTTTGTTCAGCACTGTTCTTTGTGTTGCATATGTAGCTGACATCATTTTCGTGATTCGGGTTTTGTCTGTGTTAGGCTCAGATGCATGGAGAATCTTCAGCTCCTCTTTTAGTAATTGCTGACTCTCTTCAGTTTCTCCCTCTGGGAGTGATGTGGGTTGCCAGTTGATGCAACCATAGCAATCCCGGGGCTTTTTTGCCGAGCCACTAGCTATTTCATCCTCAGTTGAGAATCTTCTCCGCTTCATTGAAGGACCACTTATATTGTCCACACGGTTGACCAACTGTGAAAGTGGGCTGTCATAGCCAGTTCCGATTTTTTCTCCACCAAGTTCATCGACAAAAGAATCCGGATACCTCCCAACTATTTCGGCACTTACTGCACGCAGCTCCTTTGTACGGGGAAGTGCTGCAGATGGTTTGTCCAGATCATGTACAATGATCGGAATCATTTCTTTGCGAAGACTTGGTGCTGGTCTTTTGTTTGCGTTTAATGCTGCCATCAGCTGTGGGGGCATCTTCTGCCATGGAACACGGCCTGGGGTTCTACCTGTTTCAGCAGATAAACTTGATGAGGATGATGGGATAGGGTTTCCCAGAGCAATTTCTACACTGGACTGGCTGCTCTCAGTTGCTGAAGAGGTACTTTTTGAGGATGGTGAATCATCAAGTGGATGTGTTGCTTTGACAGGACAATTTTGGGAGCCACCATCTGGGAAACATCAAAAGGGTAAAGTAATACTTTTTTCAGTTTTGACAATTGGAATACCTCTGCTAATTAGGGGCCATCCATGTGAAACAACCCCCACATCTCTTGGGCACTCTGCACTACCTTGGTGAACCCACAAATGCATTTCTGATACATGTATTTGAGTGCCACCATATGAGCCCCCAACTTGGCAAGCATCTGTGGTAACCTACCTGCCCCAAACACCCCCAACACCTCTAGATGATTACACCATTAATTGCGGACTCCCACTTCTTTATAGCAGAAATCGGAATAATTGGGGGTTTCCATGTCCCACAGGGCAGAGCGGAATACTTGAACAGGAATGCAGTATACCTTATTCCCTTTTTCATGCTTCAGCCATGATCAATATCCTTTAACTGGCAGTTGATATGGAATAAAAACATGCTTGAAAGATTCAAGCGCACTCCTACGTGCGTGAATTTTCATGGTGCAGAGTTACCGCATCAATTAGGCTCTCCCTGACAATGGCAAAGTGCACATCTCAGGAATGCACACAGGTGACTGTATTGTACTTTGGTGCCAAATATGGCAGATTGGGTGTAATGCATAACTTCACAAGGCACAATTAAACAGACCAAGTGGAATTTCACTTGTGCCAATTATTCGAACGTGCTGACCGAGAGTTGTTTAATAACCCATTCAGGGCACTGGGATTCAAAAACCATATGTTGGACTCACCAATGCATTTTAGACGGTCTAGCAGTTTTCTTGCTTCGATCGGTGTCAGGGTCTGGGATACATCCTTCTCATCAGGTCATTTACAGTCTCCACGCCCATTTTCTTAAGATGCTCAAGGAATGAATAGAAAATGAAAAGGCATAAAAAATGCCCAGCCACATGTACCAGTGGTATCTTTCACCAAGACATACATGCCCTTCTTATAACATGTGCCAAAAACTGATGTTTCATCTGAAACTTTACAGTTATGCTCATGTAAATCCATGTGTTGCACAGCTTTTTGAATATTGTCTGCATACATATATGGGTCAAATGCCGTTCCATGCTTCACCTTTACATCATCTGGGAAAAAATTCCCATGAAAAGAATATTCCTGCATTAATTGATGCCTCTCTGACATCAAGGAAGTTACATGTTTGAAATTCTGACTGATCCGAGTGCACTTTTTGAAGAAAGCATGCTTACTTTCAAAACGCAATGTCCACACTCTGATTAGTGGACCAAACATCAGTATGAGCCATGGGTAGTGGCAGAGAAAGTGGTGTTTTGGTCGAAGTTTTTTTCTGGGGAAATAACTC